ACAATGAACATTGAACTATAAGGGAATGGATTACTGCATAGGCTATAGCACAGATAGACTATCAGACGGGTGTGCTGTTATGGCTTAGCTATGAAGCATTCCCCCAAGCCTCATGTGTTGAAGGCTTGTCCTCAGCTGCTAGACCCAATCACCTAGTGGTGACTGTATCATGAGGGGGTGGTCTAATGAATGGACTAATCCATGATAGGATGGTGTTACTTGGAGGTGAGGCTAGGCTTGAGGAAGTACATTACGGGGGATGTGCTCTGGAAAAACACAAATTGTGACATGTCTCTTTGTCTCCTGGCTGCCATGACATGTGCTGCCTGTGCTGCACGCTCCTACCCGTCATATTCTTTATCACCACCGGCCCAGAGCAACGGATCCAAACTTGGACCAAAACTTCTGAAACTGAGCCAAAATAAACCTTTCGTCATTCAAAATTATTTTTCTCAGGTATTTTTTACAGCAACAAAAAGTCTAACTAACAATAAGATATATGAATTCAAAGAAGCCAGTCATCAAAAATCACATACTGTATGATTCCATTTATGTAACTCTCCAGAATATACAGAGACAGAAAGCCTGTCAGTGACTGCTGGGGAAGGGGTGGGAAGTGACTGCTAATGGGGATAGGAGTCTTTAATTTCACAAACATGTTCTAAAAATCAACAGTAGTAATATTTGTGTAACTCTGAGTATATTCTAAATCATTGAAGATTGATTTTAGAGGGTTGATTTTATGGGATGTGAATTAAAAATTATATGGAGGGGGTGGAGAGATGGTTCAGAAGTTAAGAGCACTTGCTGTTCTTGCAGAAGACCAGAGTTTGGTTCCTAGCACCCACATTACAATAGCCTTTAACTCCAGCTTCAAGGGGACCTGATGCCCCTGACCTCTGTGGACACACACACACACACACACACACACACACACACACACACCTAAAGGTAGAGTAAAAACATTCCGTGGGAAGCTGATCAGGGCAGTACATACCTGTAATCCCAGTACCTGGGAAGCTGAAGCAGGAAGATCACCACTGTCAAACTAGATGAGCTGGGCCACACAGTGAGACCATGTCTCCAAAAACCAAAACAGCAACTCAAACTACAGAGGAGAATAAACCATGGAACCAAAGACGGGACTAGAGCTTTTCCAACAGTGGAGGTTAAATGACAGTGGATGACACTTCTAAAACTGGGAAATATTCCTAACTTAGAATTCTCCATCAGGCTAGAATACAAATATTTTCAGACATTCACCACCTCAAATTTTCCCTCCCATCCCATGACCATTTCTTAGAAAGCAATTGGAGGATAGATTTCACCAATATGAAGAAAGAGGCAGGCCTGAGATCCAACAGAGGAGACAGAAGCATTCCTAAGGTCTCGAGGTGATGGCTCAGGGCAGCAGCAGCAGCTGGTCTAGGGATAAAGCAGTTCAGACTGGAAAGAAAGAGAGAACGCAGGAGGAACAGCTCCACAGAGAAAAGAGTCACAACATCATAGAGGAAAGATTGTGACAGATTTTTTTTGTAAGGAGTTTGACATTTTCTCAGTGTTTAGGTTGGCCTATGGATAAGTTCACAGAAAACAAAGCAAAAGCGTAACTACTTCTAGGAAAAACAAAAGGTATGCAAGAAAATAAATGTATTCACACTGGACCACGTGGCTCACCAAGAAGCCAAAGTTGCTTGGTCATAAGAGTACAATTTTGCCTCAATTTTACTTTGAGAGTACGAAGACGGGGACCTGGGTATGTCGTGGGGCAGGAGGTCGGGAAAAGAGCACTACATGCCCACGGTCCAAAGAAGAAGCTAACAGAAAACGTCACAAATCGAGAAAACAAGAAATAACAATATAGGCCTATCACTTCTTGACTAGCTCTGTAGGCATAAAGGTTTACTACAGGGACAGCTGTCATTTACAACCTGACATAAACTTCCTCCCAGTAGAAACATCACTGTACAATCAAACAGAAAACAATTCAAAAGGTTACAGAGCAAGAAGAATATTCCCTCTAGAAATTACTATTTGTAATTTTGTACACATAAATATTTATATCCTTCAGTTTTGAGCAAATACATAAAAGAATTTGTTTTAGTAAAAATGGGATTCTTTTTTAAAAATATTTTATTATTTTTATTTTTTATGTATATGAGTGTTTTGCCTGCATGTTCGTGTTCTGCAATGCCCACAGAGGCCAGAAGAAAGTGTTGGAGCCCCTGGAACTGGAGTTACGGATGGCTGTTAGCCACCATGTGGGTGCTGGAAATTGAACACAGGTCCTCTGAAAGAACAGCAAGTGTTCTTAAACAGCTGAGACATCTCTCTAGCCCCTTAAATGGGATAATTCTATATGCTGTTCCTTTCCTTAGGAAAAAAAAACCCAGTAATATATTGTGTGTAACTTTTAATATAAGGACATCCTTTTTAGTGGCTACACAATATTCAACAATACAGCTATATTTTAATTTATTTACCTGGCCTCATATCGAAAGACATTGCCACACATATTTTGGTATTATAAACAACACTGACATAAAAATATGTCTACATACATCTCTGCTCAGTTCAATTATTTCCCAGAAGAACTTCTGAGCCCAAGACTCTAAACATTAAAAACATGAATACAGCGTTCTGGCTGCCCACGGAGAGCCCATGTCCCACACTCAGCCTGCAGCAGGCATCACCAATCTTTCAACGTTGTTCTCGGTATTCATCAGTGCCACACCCCATCATGGCTCTAATCTGCATTCTCTGACCATCCATCCATCTGGCATGTTTAGGTTTTCTAGCATGGTTTTCCATCTCTTCTGCTGGTTTTTTTTACACTTTTCCAGTGTACTAAACATTTTCTACTGGATTCATGAATGCTGAATGCATTTGTCATCATTTCTTTTTCTAAATTCTATATGTGTTTGTGTGCATTCATGTGTGTGTACATGTGTGGATACATTTGTGCACACTTACACACACACAGTCTAGAGAAGGATATTAGCTGTTCTCCACTACGGTCTGTATCTCCACCTTATTCCACAATATGGTCTCTCATCAAATCTGGAGCTTGCCATTTTCTGGCTTGGCTGATGACCAGCAGCCCCAGCAATCCTGTCCCCAACTTCCATAGCACTCAGGTACAGGCACGCGTGGCCATGCTTGGCTTTTTTATGTGGATGCCGAAGATTTGAACTCAGGTCCTCAAGCTTGTATAGGAAGCGCTCTTACCCACCGAGCCATGTCCCCAGCCCTCATTATTTCCTAATAACAGCTATTGATGGAGATCAATGGGAGAAAAGGGGCAGCGGATTAAAAGGATGACACTGCTGCGGTGACCAGACACTCCTGGCACCATAGGGAGCAGCAGTCTCGGGGTTAGTGGGGGCCAAGGCGCACCCACCTCCACAAAGGCAAACTTCTCCTCGCTGGTATAATTGTAGCGCGTGGCTCGCTCGTACTCCTCTGCTGTGCCAGGGCAGTCCTTGTTGCAGAACTTGTCTGTGGGGTGAACCAGCTTCCAAGAGTACTGAGGAGAGAGGGACAAGATACTCGTCAGCTGAGCATGGTAAAGAAAATGGCAGAGCCAAGCCAGTAGGCACACGACATGCAGAGGAAAAAGTGCTGACTCTCAAAGGACAGGCACGGACCTCGAAAACAGGAAGTGAAGGAAGCCAGACATTGTATGACATTGTAGGAAGCAGCTACAATACAGAGACATACATGGAAAATACAATGCTCAGGGCTGGAGAATGGGGTGATAAATATGGACTTAAAAACTATATACATGGGGGCTGGAGAGATAGCTCAGTGGTTAAGAACACTGACTATTCTTGCAGAAGACCCGGGTTTGAATCCCAGCACCCACATGGCAGCTAACAACTGTCCATAACTCCAGTTCCAGGGATTCCTTCACAGGAATTGCACGATACGGGTGCATTTACCTACATGCAGGCAACACACTCATACACAGAAAATAAAAATAATAAATATTAAAAATATATATACACATTAAAGATTTATTTTTAATTATGTGTATGTGTGTGTGTGCATGTGTACTGAGTATGGGTACCTGCGGACATTACAGTTCCCCTGGAACTGGAGTTATAGGAGCTTGTGAGCTGCCAAGCAGGAGTGCTGAGAACTGAACTTGGATCCTCTGCAAGAACAGACCATGCTCTTAAGCCCATCTCTTTAGCCCCAGGTGGAGGGTGTTTTGAAGTGATGAACATACTCTCAATTTATGGTTATACAAGTTGGTGACTATACTTAAAAATGCACTGGGTAAATATGTGAATTCTATCTCCCTAAAGCTATTGAAGAGTACTGAGGCGAGGCAGGGGTAGAAATATGCCACGTGAATCAGGTCAGTGTGAGGCCCAGCACCCCAGGACACCTACCACCTCCATGACGTGAGCACTCCACTTGGATAAAAGCTGCAGGCCACGCAGGGCCAGGTCAAACAGCTCCCGGTATTCCTCATCCGACTTCTGGCTGTCCAGCCCTGAGCCTGTCACCACCTGGGGACATAGAGCATCCCACTCATGGTCCATGTGCCTGGAACTTGTAAACATTAGCCCCATGATTCCCACCAAGAACTGTGCAATTATTATGCTCCCTAGATAGACGAACTGGGCCCTGACAGGAATCTTGCTGAAGACCACACGGCTTGTAAGTGGCTGAGAGTCCTAATTCAGGAGGTGTCACCTCAGAGTCCAGTTCATTCTCACCCGCGTACCTTGTAGCAAGGACTTAAACTATCCCGACTGTTCACAGCTGGCAATGTAGACCAGCGAGCGATTCAAGAACAAATCCCCACAGAGATATTAGCTATGAGTATGTATATAAGCAACGACTTTCACACAGCACTCTTAACCCACAGGGTTCCTTCTGGGTTTGTACTCAATTTCACATACAGCATAATCACAAATCACTAAATTGATATCATAGTTCATTTATTAGACAGGATGCACTGAATACAAAGTTCCTGTAAAGACGAACTTTTGTATGTGTTACATTCCACAAGAAAACATTTAATGTATGTATGTATGCATGTATGCACCAACATCTGTGTACATGAGTATGTATGTGCATACATATGTACATATGCAGGTGGTCATTACTGGTGGATGCTCTCTTTGTGACTTTGCCTCCTCACTATCTGCCTATTTGTAATTTCCCAAGTCAACACTTGCAGTGATGTCTCCACCTCCTGCAGACATCTGCATGTTCTCAGCTGAGGCTGGACACAGGCCTCTGCATTTTTGTTTCAGCTCATACTGAAAACAAGCATCCTGTCAGCAGTGGACGCAGTGCCATGCTATCCATACTTTTGTGCTTTTTGTTAACAATTTCACCATTCAAAGCAGTGCTGATGTGCTATGTAGTGTTCCTACCTGCAGGAAAGTTGTGACACACAGGTTTAGATAGCATTCCTTCAAACAGAAGCCATGGTGGTGTTGACCCTCAGTTAATGACAATGTATCTATCATCTATCTATCATCTCTATCTATCTATCTATCTATCTATCTATCATCTATCTATCAATCATCTATCTATCTATCTATCTATCTATCTATCTATCACAAAAATGTCTTTAGACAGAGACATGGATAAAACAAGATTATGTCTGTCGGTTGATGAAAAAGCGGTGGCCAGATGCTCACAGGAATTCAACTCTATTTCTCCGCAGACCAATGGCTCATTATTGCTAATTCAGAATTCATGACATTTTACAGAATATTACTATTGCAAGAAATGAAAACGAATAGCATATATGCATGCATAAAGCATGTTCAGTTGGCCCTCTATGTCTGAGGGGTCTGCAGCCAATAGATTACACAGCAGTGGATAGAAAAATATTTGGAAAAGTATTGTCTCTGTATTGTACGTACACAGAGCTTTCTTGCCATTAACCCTAAATAATACAGCAAAACGGTGTGATGGTGAGATTTAATTGTCACTTTGACACAACCTACAGTCACCTGGGAAGAAAGGCTCTTGCAGATGGTCTATGTTGGGTTGGCCTGTGGGCAGTTCTGTGGGGGATTGTCTTAAGATCATTGATGTGGGAAGACCCAGCCCAGTGTGGATGGCACCATTCCCTAGGCAGGGGGACCTGAACTGTATACAAGTGGAGAAACTGAACTGAGCACAGTAAGCAAGGAAGCCCTCATATACTCATTTATGTCTGTTCTTGACTGTGGATATGATGTGACCAGCTCATGATGTGACCAAGCTGTCTCAACCTCCCATTTCTTTGACCTCCCCACAAATGGTCCTCCCATTTAGCTCAGCTAACTGGCATGTTTGGTAAGAAAGCTAAAGGTCTGGATTTGACCTGGTCCCTGTGCTCCACGAGCTTATCAATGCCTGGTCTTGATTGTCCCCATTTAAAATGTGCTGCCTCTTTCTTTCTTTCTTTCTTTCTTTCTTTCTTTCTTTCTTTCTTTCTTTCTTTCTTTCTTTCTTTCTTTCTTTCTCTTTCTTTCTTTCTTTCTTTCTTTCTTTTCTTTCTTTTTCTCTCTCTTTCTTCCCTCCCTCCCTCCCGCCTTCGTTCCTTCCTTCTTTCCTTTCTATATTTTTTTTTGAGACAGGGTCTCCATGTAGCCCCAGCTGGCCTGGAAATCACTATGTAGACCAGGCTGGCCTTGAACTCACAGAGATCCACCTGCCTCTGCCTCCTGTGCTGGGATTAAAGGTGCGTGCCACCACACCCTGTAAAACACATTGCTTTATGAGCTGATCATGATCATAAGTTATTTCTTGAGCTGGACTTGGAAAAAAGTACTCGTTATGGCCATTGGTCACATGGCGGAGTCAGTGAGCAAACTAAAAATTATGTGCTATAAAGGGTCTCAGATCAGGGATCTGTGTAGATCAAAACAGCAAGCTCATGTATCTATGACAAAGGTGTCTATGGAAAGAGACCCACAAGGACATATGATAATCAAAATTGCTTCTAGGATGGTAGGATTTTAGGGAGCTGATTCTCCTTCCTTTCATATACCTTCTTTGTCCTTCAGTTTGCAAATTATGTTCTTAGATTCAAAAGAGAGAAAAAAGGGGTTAGAGGGATGGCTCTTTGCAGAGGACCTGAGTTCAGTTCCCAGCACTCACATGGCAGCTAACAACTCTCCAGGAATCCAACACCCTCTTCTAGCCTCAACAGGCATTGCATGCACAAGGTGCACTTACATATATGCAGGCAAAACACTCATGTAAATAAAATAATTGTTTTTAAAAAGAAAAAATGTAAACATAATCATTGGAATTACAGGAGATTTTTATGGCCTTTTTGTATGTATATGATGAGTGTGTGCTTGTGCGTGTGGATGCAGATATACATACACTTGCCACAGTCTGCATATGAAGTTTCAAGGACAACCTTGGGTGTCGGTCCTCACTTCCACTTTGAGGCAGAGTCTCTATGCTGCTCGCTGTACCACTGCTTACACCAGGCTAGCTGGCCCACAGACTTCCAGGCTTCTCCCATCACTGCCTCCCTCTTGCTGTAAGAGCTCTAGGATGACAGACACATGCTGCCACCCTTTATGTGGGTTCTGGGATCTAAAATCAGTTTCTCATGCACATCTGGCCAGCACTTCACCCACTGAGCCATCTGCCCAGCCTTTTATGGCCTTTTATCGCTAATTCCACTTATGGTATTTTGCAATGATCACATATTATTGCACAGCTATACAATTTAAGTAGTGTCGGGAGCAAGTGAGTTTAGAACTCTGTCTTTGGTCAGGGAAGCGGGAGGTGGCATTGATCCTGTGCAGCTAGAATGAATAGTTACCAGGTCCTTACTGTCTTTCATACACACAAAATAAAAATAAGATAAAATATTTTAAAAAATACTATTATCCCCACTTAAAATGTCTGTATTTTTAAAAATTATTTTATGTGTATGAGTGTATTTGCCTGCATGTATGTAAGTGCACCCATGCTGTGCAGTACCTGTGAAGAGAGCACTGAATCCCCCTGGACCTGGAGTCACGGAAAGTTGTGAGCCGCCATGTTGGTGCTGGGAACTGAACTTGGATCCTCTGATCCTCTGCAAGAGCAGCCAGTGTTCTTGGCTGCTGAGTCATCTCTCCAGCCACACATATTTTATTTTTAACTGACACCCAGTAATATCTATGGGGCATAGTGTGGTGACGCAACACTCAAATACAATGTATGATGATCAGATGGGCTCACTGGCATATCTATCTCCTCTGATGTAATGTCTTCATGCTGAGGAACATTCAAAATTCTCTCTACTAGCCACTTTGAAATATTCAATTAATTGTTGTCAACCATAGTTGCCCTACTGTGTGAAGGAACTAATATTATAAGTGATTCCTTCTTCTTGACTATTTTCAAGCTATGTTTTCTTGAATATTTATAATTTAATAAAAGCACAAATACCTTAAGATGAAAAAAAGAATGATCTTATCTGACTAGACGTTTTTAAAAACATTTTATTTTTATTTTATGTGTATGCATGTATTGCCTGCATGTATGTAAGTGCACCCATGTTGTGCAGTGCCTGTGGAAGACAGAAGACCATGTTAGAGTCCCCTAGAGCTGGAGTTCTGGATGACTGTTAGTCACCATGTGGGTGCTGGGATCCAAACCCGGGTCTTCTGCAAAAACAGCCAGTGTTCTTAACTGCTGAGTCATCTCTTAGCCCCCACCCCACCCCACATTACTTCTGTACCTGTTTACAATCCCCTCTGGTACTGACTTCCTGCCCACCCCATCCTTCCTGGGGAAATGGCATTACATCAGTTTTGTTAATGTACAGGTAAGGAAACTAAGGCACAGAGGTTTTGAGCATCAGTTCCAGGGCTGACTCTGAACCCACGCTTCGGGCAGCTCTACCCTCCTGCCTCTGCCGTGCTTCTCTCCCAGCTCCTCTGTACTGTTGCTGACCCTGGGTCCTTCAGTTACAGCCCAGCCACAGAGCTTACCTCACTGTTGCTGTATCGAGCCAGCTCAGAGATGAATCGGATGTGGTCATCCCGGATCTGAACCATTTGCTCACAGATGTTGTACTGGGGGCTGATGCTGCTCTGTGTGCACGTCCACCTGGGGAGAGAAATCAAAGGATTGGTGTAGGTCCCAGCCCCAGGCACCTTCACGGGACAGGCACCTTCCGTGCTCTAGCTGCTCCTGGTCCTCAGCCAACATGGCCAGCTCCCCTGGGTGGAACCAAAGGTAAAGTGGCCACCTAAGATCCACAGTCTGTTCTGTAGGTGCCACGGCTAGAAAGCAGAGGAAGTCCTGCCTCCTCCTGCTCCTCCTCCAGATCCTAATGCAGGTCTTTCTGGACACAGGTCTACAATACTTACCAATCACACAGAGGGCTTAGGGCAAGGTCACAGCCTCTCTAGGACCACAAAGGGCTGGAACCCTAGCTAAACAAAATCAAGGCAGGCAATCTCCCAAGCCTCTCTGCTGACTCCAAAATACCAGCTCCAACATCCAGTGCTGGAAGATGGCTCTGGAGGGGCCTCTGGGCAGAGGTAGGGGAACCTAAATGGGCCTGTCCTTTCCAACAAGGATCTGGTGCTGTGGACACACAGGGCCAGAGAAGCCCTATCTTGCTGACAGGCATGGCTGGTGCCTCCTTCCCTCCTCCTTGTCCCTTTCCCTCCGTCTCCCCTTTCCTCTCTTCTTTCTTCTCAGGCCTTAGGAAAACCATCCTGACCTGGAAAGGAAATGAATGACAGGAAACCCTTCACTCTTCTCCACTCTAGACAGACTGGGAGTAAGGCGGGGAAAAGGTTCCGAGAGGACTCTGAATTTCAAAGGGAGATGAGAAGGGCGCTCAGGAATTCTGAGCAGTGACAAGTACCTCTAGCTGAGATCTTCCTGTTTTTTTGTGGTGAGCTACTTGTGGAGAGAATGTGACACTCTCATTCAAACCCCTGACTTGCTGCCAGGTTATAAGTCTCTATCTTCCCCAACCAGCCTCTTCTTCCAAGGTTGCCAGACATGGCCTAGCTTTCCCTGTGGGAATCCAGGAAGGCACAGGTCAAGGACCCTCTGTAGGTATCTTTTTTAAAAAAGACTTTCTTAGACAAGATCTCATGTACCCGAGGCTGGACCTGAGCTCTTCATCCTCTTGCCTCCACCTCCCAAGCGCTGAAATTACAGGTATTCATACCACACTCAGTTTCTGTTGGTATCATTTTAATCCCAAGCTACTAAGAGAGACTGAGGCAGAAGGAACACACGTTGAAGATGTGCCTGGGCTACATAATGAATGCAACTTGCAAAACAGAAAGTAGGAAGAAAGGTGAGGCTGTGGCTCAGGGGTAAGGTTCAATCCTGGCAAGTTCAATCCCCAGCACCACAATAATAAAAAAGACACCCATCAAAGTGCAGCCGGCCCTGCTCCACACGGCAGTGCCATGCTCACTCAGCTCTAGGTGCGATGCCTATGAACAGACCCTGCAGTGACTTTGAGATCAGAGGGACCAAGGCTGTAGCTGGATGCTTCCCAGGTTTAGCGAGCAACTGACCCAACCCCAGGCCTCAGCACAGATTTCCTAGAACCATGGTTTATAAAACAACATAGAGGGAGATTGTCAACTCATGTCACAGCAGGAACCGGCATACTTAACCACATACTTACTGCATGGTCACAGAACCCTAGCAGAAACCTGACTCACGGTGATGACAGCCATGTTGGAGGGCTCCTGCTGTCCCACTGAGGGGAGGGGGTTACTGCTGGGCAGGACAAGGGGCAAGGCTATGCTCTGAGCCCTTTAGAGCCTGGCAGCAATGGGCGGGGGCAAAAGGGCTCAGAGCACCCTCACTGTTCCCCTCCTGGCGCTGCTGTTCTGCAGAATCCACCTGCCCAGGGCTCTGGGGAGGGAGGAGGGGCTGAAGTGGCCCCTCAACCCCCTGCCCGGGCTGGGCCTCCTCACAGGAGCCAAGAGACATTACGGCAGGCACTCACTTGGACTTGTTCTCTTCATAGTGAGCACTGGTCTTAATGTATCTGGCCAGCTCTATCTGCATGTCGCCGAATAGGGGAACCACTTGTAGCTGCTGCAAAGGAAGCAAACAGAGCACATGAGATGCCACGGGAAGGGCTGGGGCTGCTGCACCCGTGGGGCTGCAGGCTTCCGTGTATACCTCGGGACAGGTGCCTGGCTCTGCTTCTGATGGTGCTGCAGTGGGATTTTGGAGCCCCGCAGAGCCCCAGCCAGCATAAAGTCTTTCCCCTGCCTCTAATCAACTCCATAGTCCAAACTGAGGCCAGAGTGACTTGTCCAAGGGATTTGTCCAAGGTGACACAGCCAGGAGAACAGATGAAGTAGAGGACGGATGACTGCCCTCCCAGAACCAGCTCCTTTCTGCTCTCCCTTTCTCCAGTTGACAAGATCCTCGCTGTTCCAAACCGGACCAGGAACAGATGTCAGCGTGGCACCGACCAGGTGTGACTTTTCTGAGAACATCCACCTTGATACCTAACACCACCAGACAACTCCCAACTACAGCCAGCACAGATGGAGAGGAGGCTGGTGTCTGCACCTGTCTTATACACTGGATACTTTACACATACTATCTCAGCCAAGTCTGGTGGTACAGGCCTATAATCTCAGCTTTTCAGGATGCTAAGACAAGAGAATCATAAATTCATGGTCTGCTTAGGCAACATAATGACACTTTATCTCAAAATAAAAAGTGAAAAAAAAAAAAAAAGAGGAATGGAGCACTTGGTTAGCATGGGCAGGGTTCTGGGTTTAATCCCAAGTATGGCAAAAACCAGCCAACCAACCACTACCTCCATCCACATGTAGCTGTGAAATCAGTGCTGTCTTCCCTTCCATTGAGCCAGCACAGACACCAACACATAGGAAATTCAGGGTGTTCACAAAGTCAGCCAGCTAGACCAAGAGCCAGAATCGTAACCTGGGGCTCAGGCTCCTCTAGAGTAGACACGCTCAGCATTCAGAGCTGTCAGATTGGAGAACTCAGCTCCAGGAAGCTAATCTAGTGCCTTCCCCAAAGCCACTCAGGTATGGAGGGGCAGAGGCAGATGAAACCCAGGCCTGGTGTAGCCCTGGCTCCACCCCATATCTGTCATGCTCAAGGCAGATTTTGTAAGTCTCCTAACATGAAACCCGTCTTCACTTGGGGTAAGTCTAGAGAAAAGCAAGTCTCCAGTTTAACAGGAAGCTAACAAGTCAAACAAGAAGACACCTCTCAAAGACTCCTGTTCTTAAACCTTAATGTACCTGGCATCACCTAGTGTCCTCCCAGTATAGCACTCCCATGGGCCTGGGCTCATGCCTGCAGGGCCCACTGTTAGAAACTCAGAATGAGAATTCAGTTCCAGAGTGTGACAACTGTCTAAAACTCTGAAGGCTTAATTTAACTGCAAGTTTTTATTTAGAAAGATCTAGTGCCAGAAGGCCAGATCTCAGGTGCTGGAACGAACTATGCTTAAGGGGTGTGTTGGTGAGAAGGTCTGCCCAGGGGTGAGGGTGCAGGGAGGCGGCCTGCCATGGGCCCTGGAGTGGCAAACCGTGTGCAAACATGAATCCACTTAAAACCTAGTCTTTAGTCCTTCTTCCAGAAGCTTCTTTCAGTAGCTCTAGAGCATCCTGAAAAATTAAAGCACATCTTCTAGGGTGCAACTCTGTCTTCAGATGATGAAAGATTTCAGGAAAAGGAAAAGGCCCCCAGTGGGATCCCAGGTGAGTCCTGAGTCCTAAGACTGGGAACTGCATGTAGACAGAGTAACATTTTCATCTACCATGTGTAGCTGGGGCCCTGTGCTCTTATTTCCTCTCCTTTGAGGGTCTTTAGAACTATGGTGTTCTGAACCATCTCCACAGCTTTCTGACTAATTTCATTTCTTCCTCTGAAGATCCAGATTCTGGTAACTCTGGGCCTTGGCCAGCCACAGCTCCAGTTACTGACCTTAAAGAACTTATCGATTTTGCTAAGGTTGATTCTCTTCTTGGCGTCCAGTTTGTAAATGTTACTGACATTTCCATCCATCAGGTAGAGGCCGAAACCCATCACCTAGAACGAGAAGGGGCTGAGTGCAAAATCGGCATGCCATCGGAACAGCTAATGAAAACAAAATATGGGTCCATAAAGTACTTACACGCATCTTGCAGATACATATTCTGTGTAAAAAGCCTATACATCTCCAAATGAAGGCAGGACACGTGGGTCTAATTTCAACCAGACATTTAGTATATTATTATGGCAGCCACTGTGTATGGGCCAGAGTCTGTGGCTAAGGCTTAACAAGTATTGTTTCAATTCTCACAGTACTCTTAGGAGTCGAGTTCTACAGACAAGGAATCAGAGACATTGAGAGGTCAGCTTGCCAAAGCTACACAGCTAAGCTGTAGAGACTTTGTCTGAACAAGATCTAACCCAAGATCTGTTGTCCAAATGTATACTTTTAGGTCTTCCAGAACAGAGACCCTGTTGAATCCCAGAGATATCCAAAGTCATTGATAGGCATAGAACCACTGTCAACTGGTAAATGACCAGAAGAATCCCCAAGTTGTTCCCCAGAAAAATGGGGATGTAAAGGCTCCTTAGGAGTCACTGGTAACATTGTTTTAAATGCCTGAAGATGTTGATATCCTTGATATTTCAACCCATTTTCTGGTTACTTTAAATGAGCTTCTTTAGGTGAAATGACTAGCTTAAAATATATATCGTTATATTTACAAACAAGTACACCTCTCACCACTCATCAAAGAAGCTTCTTTTTGCAACAGATGGAGACTATTGCAGAGTTCCACAACAGATCAAATGCAGAGAATAAGTGTCTGTGAGATGCCTAAGTGACACATCTATAATGCAGCCTCTACACCTAAGGCTCAGGGAGCACAGTAGAACAGGGGGCAGAGAGAAGGGTAATGCAGCTCGCAACTCTCACCAGCAAAACTTCCTCATGCAACAGATAATGATTAACACAGAAGGTCACAACTGGCCAAAATGTAGAGAATTAGAGACTGCAGAGTATATGTCCCTTGAAAGGACTCTTATATTAAACCTCACCCACCCAGGGATCAGGGACTTGTGGAAGAATGTGAAAAGACTTTAAGAGCCAAGGGTAGTAGTGAATGACCACAAAGAAACAGTTTTCCAGGTGGCTGGGAACTTACTGATATGAACTCACAGCAATGGTAACAGCAGATGCAAGACCCATGCAAACTCAGACCATACAAAAACCCAGCATAGAAATGGGGAAATGTGTAAGAAGCCCCAACATTAGCTGAATAACTGTTGGCAGCTGATCACTGCTGGGAGAGGGAGAATTGGTCTTCTTTAAGGGAGTGATGCTAGATAGGTTGACCAGGCTCCAGTGGATGAACTCATACCAAGGGACATCTGGGGACACAAACTGGACTTGATGGGCCTTAAAATGTAGGGCAGAATGCATGAAATTCAGCAAGGGGCCAACGGGGGTACAGACAGGGGAATGAATCTAAATATGATTATGATTATGATATGATTATGAAATGCACAAAAATTCAATAAAAAACAGAAAAAATGAGCAGCTGAAAGGGCATGGCCATCTATGGAGACATGGGAAGTCCATTCTCACTGTGCTTTACCTCTCAACACCCCCAAGGGGAAGGAGTAGAGGACCATGAAGGCTGCATCCTGCTTGATGCATTCTGTCCTGCAGGATTCACAGTAGACCCTCCTGTTAAGAGTACATGGCGCGCCTTGGTGGCAGCTGCGCTCACTAACACAAGCTGCAGAGAGGCAACAGCAAAACAGTGTGGGAAGCCTGCAGAGGTTGGGGACTCGAGGGAAGCGGCCTGTGCAGGGATCAAAGGCAGGTGAGAGGAGAAGGTCTCAGAACCTAATGACAGCATCTAGCCTGCTTGGGGACCAGAGCATAGTAAGGCAGCTGTGGAAGCCGCAGGCCTGGGCACAGCTACAGTTACTTCTCAGGTTTGGAACTGGGGTGCCAGGGTTAGCAGTTGAAGGTGCAGCAAACTCTCTGGGTTTCTGATGGCCCAAGGAAGCCAGAGTGAACAAGTCACAAAAGCCACATGGTCCCTGCTACCATTTCAATATGGTTTGCTTCCCTGAACTTACATAAAAATTTAAGCCCCAAAGTCATAGGGCAATAGTATTAAGAGGGTGAAACTTGCTGGTTGTGGTGGTACACACCTGTAACCCAAGCACTTGGGAGGCTGAGGCACAAGAGTCAAGAATTCAAGGTCAGCCTAGTACATAGATTGTGTCTCAAAAATAAAAAAAATTAAAAAATAAAAGAGAATGAAACTTAATTTTATTACAGTATTTAGAGATGGAGTCTTTGGAAAGTAATTAGATTAGACAGTTAAGAGACCCCATGATTGAATACTAGTGGTTTTATAGGGACAGGGAGAGAGACCACAAACAGCCACAAAATGCTCCCACCATGTGATACCCTGGGGAGAAACCACACCACTATCTGGGCTTTCAGCCTGAACACTGGGCTAACTAAACTTCCTTTATAAAGTATGCTACCTCACACATCTGTTGGAATGATGAAAAATTAAAAATACACTTTGCAAAATCAACTGAGGTGCTGGAAATTTAAAGACAAGAATCCCATGCCAGAGAAGGTTCTTAGAATAATGAAACTGACATGAAGGAGAAGAAGAGAAAGCAAAGACCTTTGAGAGATGAGATTCTAGAGAAGAAGGAACAGGAGGGACTGTGTGGTGCTCTAAAAAATCTGTAAATGGGCTAGAGAGATGGCTCAACGGTTAAGAGCACTGGCTGCTCTTGCAGAGGACCCAGGTTCTGTTCCTAGCACCCACATGGTGGCTAACAACTGTCCATAATTCCAGTTCAAGTGATCCAACACCCTCTTTTGAGCTCCATGGGCATTGCACGACACAGGTACACTTATATACATGCAGACAACACACATAAAATAAAAATAAATAATAAGTATTAAAAAAAATCTGGAGACGGTTGTTCACGTCAGCTATAGGAGAAGGTTAGAAGGAACGTTCTAGAAAGAACCTGAGCACCCATCCATCCAACAATGGTTAAAGCACTGAAGGTTCTTTTGTACGACAAAATAGATGTTATATAGACATGACAAAATATAGGTCTATATAACATTCCAAACACATATGATGACATGGAGGCTGGAGAGATGGTTCAGTGAGTAGAGGTACTTGTTGCCAAGTCTGACAACCTGAGTTCAGTCCCTGGGACCTACATGGTGGAAGGAGAGCGCTCACTCCCTCAAGATGTCCTCTGACTTCTACATGTGTGCCACACAAGGTTAAAATTTCTACATACTATGGATACTGAATATTTTGAAAATATACAAGTATAAAAAATATGAGGTCAAGGGTTGGGGATTTAGCTCAGTGGTCGAGCGCTTGCCTAGCAAGTACAAGGCCCTGGGTTCGGTCCTCAGCTCTGAAGAAAAAGACAAAAAAAAATGAGGTCACACACCAAAATGCTGAGTAGAAAGATCGTAAGCGATTTAAAAATTTTATGCTTTCCTGCATAATCTAGATTTTCAATAATAATAATAATAATAATAATGGCTTCATAATTTTAGAATCAAAATTGTAGACTGTTGAAATAATTATGACCATTTTGACAAAATACAGATTCTGCCTTCCCTTTTAAGTCAGCAGTTTTGCTTCGAGGAAGTTTAGCTTCACAGAAAGCTGTCCTCCAAGGTTGTGTGCCAAGAGGGTTTTTAGTGTAGTGTAGCAAACAAACATCTAACCATACGGCTGTGTGAAATAATGAGCTCCCCATACAATGGGCTACTTGGCATCCACTAAGGATGGCACTCTGGAAACACCGTAAAGATGTTTTCAATGTGTGTAGGGCACATTAAAGGAAAGGGGTGAGGTCGTAGATACTATCTGCAATAAGATCTGAATCATTAACTGTTATTTTAAAATAATTTTAAGTGGGTGCTGGGGGGATGGCTCAGTCAGTAAAGTACTTCTTGAGACCCGAGTTCAATCCCCAGCACCCATGTGAAAGCTGGCATGGTGGTTCACTTACAATTCCAGCTCTGGGGAGGCAGAGCTGAGCAGATCCCTGGAGCTCACTGATCAGCCTAGCCCAATTGATGAGGCTCAGGTCCCAGGGAGAGAACACGAGAGAGCATCAAAAACATGATGGAAACTGGACAGATGATGGCTCAGCTGTTAAGAGCACTCTTGCAGAGGACCTGAGTTCAGTTCCCAGCACCTACATCAGGTTGCTCACAACCTCCTATAACTACAGCTTCAGGGCATCTCACGCCTCTTGCCTCCAAGGGCACCTGCACTCACATGTACATATGTACATACATACATACATACATACATACATACATACAGACAGACACACACACAATTAAAAATAATAAAAATAAATCCTTAGAAAATAAGATGGATGGCTCCTGAAGAGTGACACCTTTGGTCTGCAAACACATGTGTGCACACAGGTGTGCATACACACATGCATACACGTGTGTACACACAGTCACATACACAATTTTAAGTAAGGAGGCAGGAGGCAAGCCTGGCCAGCAGTACGAGGTGGGGTGTTTTACCTTGAGGAGCATGTGTTTCTCACTGGGGGTCAAGTACATCTTGTTCTCATAGTAATCCACGCAGATGTTGACGATGTCTGCCAGCAGCTCCTCATAGCCTGGGATCACTTCCAGTTGCTGGTGTAGACACTAAACAGCAGCACCACTTGCTGGTTAGGTAAAGCATGCATCCTCTGTACCGCCCAGAAGACCGGGAGCTGGGCAGGCGACTGGACACTGGCCCTCACTGAAGTCACAGGAAGAGGAAGCCTGCTTGCAGCAGGCACTTAACCACCTGACTCCCCCCTAATGCCAGACAGTGGCTGGTTGATGAAGTTTTTGCTCACCTCCCAGGGCAGAGAGCTCATCTCCCTGAGCCTTCCATGTGACCCTAGTAGAAAGTGGACTCTTAAGCTGGGCAGAAAGGCAGCTTTACTGCAATTGACCTGCAGTAATTTCAGTTTAGTTTTAAGGGTATAAACTTCTCAACAAGGTTTCTTTAGGCAAAGGCACGAGGAAGACCAACCCAGGGAAAGTGCTGGCTGCTGTCTCCTTCCTAGCAGGATCTAGCCGTTCAGAAACATCTCCTGGGGAGGAAGGTCTGAGGACCTCACTGCAGCTCTTTCTCTCCAAAAAGATAGGCTGGGCTCCTGAAGGATACCCAGTGGACAGACAGCAGGGGCTGTGACTCTAGGGGCCTCAGAGGCTAAGCAGCCTTCTGCAGTGACCAAAAAGGCCCTGCTACCTCCAGACCTTCAAGATGGGGATATGAGCCCGAGAACCCTTGGAAGAGGCAGGGCCCAGCTCTGTATGGGCCTGGGTCCCTGGACACTCCCACTGGTACTTGTTTAATCAACAGTGAGATGGTTCAAATTATAATAGGCAGAATGGGAGCAAAACAGCACCACAGATGCACCTGGCAAAGCAGTGGAAGTGGGCACAGCTGTGCCTCTCCAGGCCCTTAGTGAGCTTCTGCATGCCAAGGGCTTTTTATACATACCTCATTCATTTAGTCCTATGAGATATATTCCTTTTTTTTTAAAGGTAGCCCCAGCTGGCTTGGAACTCCCTGTGTATACCAGGCTGACCTCACCTGTGTCTGCCTCCCAAGTGCTGGGATTAAAGGCATGTACCTCCATGCCCGGCCCATGAGATATATTCTTATAATACTCTTTAAATAATAAACCCATTTTATACATGAGTAAACTGAGCCTTAGACTTTGCCCAAGGTATGACAGTTGGCCCATGGTAGGCCTGTTATTAACCTCTAGGCTGATGCTGGGCTACAGCATTGGCTGGGAAACTTCCAGAGGACCAAACCTGGAGAGGCCACAGGCCTCTTTAGTTCACTTTCATGAAAGACAGTGAAGACCAAGTGTGGACTGAACTCAGCCTTATGGATCTCCTGGCCTCATGGATCTCCTGGCCTCAGGTCCCGGCCTCACTTCCCTGGATTGCCAAGCAGAACCAAGAGAGAGAGTATAATCGCACCTGGGTGATCCTGTTGTGGTTAGCCAGAAACATGGACAGGTTCTGAGATTCCTGAATGGACTGGGGGTCTGCCATCTTCCTCAGGAACTGGGCTGCTCTGAAATGCAGAAGGGAATTGATAGCAGGCTACACAGGTGTCTGCTGCCACTCAGCCCACAGTGACATCATCCCAATGCTGTGGAGCCCTGAACATCACAGGTGACTCTGAGGTCAAAGGAGAGTGTTTGGAGGATCTGAGGCTGTGTGGACCATTGTGAGGGGGGCTGAAAGCACCAAACATTTCATGGGAACCAGGAAGGAGCAAGTGATACAGGGATTGGGTGGAGCATCCCTGAGCCTGCCCATGACCTCCGGGAAGCACAGTGAGCACTGGGGAACATCACAGGCCGGAAGCTGTATTTTTATTGTGTTCTGTTCATTATAGGAAAAACCTCAATGTTCTCTATTCTTGTTTGTAGTGCTGGGGATTAAACCTAGGGTACTGTGCACACTAAGCAAGCTCAGTGGTCAAGTCCTTTTTCAGTATTATTATTTTTCACTTTTGAGACAAGGTTTTACCAAGTTTTTCAGACTGGCCTCAAACTCTAGCCCAGGCGAGCTTGGACTGACCGCATTCCTGCCTTAGACTCCCAAAGCCGGAGGCACGACAGGCCTGTGCCACCAGCTTCAGCAGATGATCTTTCTGCTGCAGCCTCCTAGGCTGGGTAGCAGGCCTGGCTTCACTTCAGCACTCTCAAGCTCAGCGCTGCATGGAAACACAGGTGTCTTTAACCTAACAGGTTGACAGACAGAAGGAGGAAGCACACAGAGAACACAAGCTGGCCTTCACAGAATGTCCCAGCCTAACCCAGCAAGGCATAGCTCGAGTCACGATGACCTGTGAGAACAGGGACAGTGAGCCTGCCTGGCTAGGGACACAGATGTCAGCTGTGGCCTGTAACTGGGAAATCCTTAGAGAAGGGTGCTGCATGGTGGCTGTCTGTGCCAGCTTCAGGAAGTGGTCAGTTCTGAGTGGGCCTTGAAATGGGCTCTGGCTACTGGGCATCCCCAGGTTTCACATCTGACCGAGAAGGGTAAAATTGTGACAGTCTACTTTTTCTAATTACCGTGAAGTCCCAGGAGACATACAGACACTGTGGTGCTCATCTGAGTCTTAGGCAACTCCCAGAGGCTGTCACTTTGCACTGTGCTCCCCAACCTGGGTGGCTATATCCTGACTTCTGAAGACTGATGATCTCTCCCAGTCCCAGTCTGTTCTTCAATGTTAATATAGACTCCCAATTCCCAGGGTGAGTACCGTCCGCTGAGATCACCCCACCCCATTCTGTGACTGAGTGAGGGATTAGCATGTGACCCAAGCTAGATGGATGGCAATCCTGCCTGGGACTTGTCAAGTGTATGTGGAAGGAGGGGCACTCTTCTGAAAAGCTGGGGTGTGCCCTGGGCTGGTAGGAAGCTGCTGCAGGGGCCCAGGTGAGAAAGAAGCCCAGGGAGAAGCAGTTCCAGTGGGGAGGTGGGAAGACCCAGGTGAACACTGCTTCTCGGATAACTGGGGGCACATATGCCTGGCTTTGTGGTTCTGTGACATATGTAATGGCTTTCTGTCTCTCACAGGCAGTGACAAGGTAACTAACTGTCTTACAATTACCTTACTGGTCCCACAAGGCAGGCAGAAGAAATCACTGCTGCTCCCCAGGTGGGAGAAGCAAGGACCTGATTCCATCCTGAGGCATCAAGTCTGGCCAAGATCAAGTTATCCAAAGCCCCGGCTCTCTACTGTCTTCCTCAAACCACCAGACATGGTGGGTGGCCCTGCTGTATCTGGGGAAGGGCTGCTCTGGAACCCAGAAGGGAGCCCGTGAGAAGGGAGGGAGCGGGGAAGGTGCCTGACCTCTTATAGGCAGAGTGGTCGTTCTTGACGCTGCACTTCATATTCTTCAGCTCGTCCAGGACTGCGAACATGTTGATGAACTTGCCCAGAGTCAGCAGGTAAGCCTCGGAAACAAAGTCCTTCCTGCGCTCGGCATGGCACAGTCGCTTCACCTCACTGCAGAAGCGCTCAATGGCCTTGCGCTGGAGGCAGAAGGACGGTGATGAAGGTGGGGCAGCCTGGTGGGGGCCTCAGGACACTTGAGCAGGAACAGGCCAAGGCTCCCCTGAAGCTCTCACCAGAGCAGAGCAACAGGACATATCTGCCATGTCAGGCAGTCTTTCTTAGAGGTGTCTCTTAGTTCCAAAGCTGATTTTGACAGCAGTGCTAGGACCTACGCCAAGTGAGTCTATCCAATGAGTTCATCCAAAATACATTTGCTAAGTGGCATTGTGTCCCCAGCACCCAGGGTTGGGCATTAGAAAATAAGGCAACAGACTAAGAGAAAGAGGGAGAGAAAGAGGTTCATTCATCAAGCAACTAATTATTGAGCATCTACTGTATACCACGCACCTTCCTAGGCACTGGGGGCAAGCAGAGATCAAATCAAGAATAAAAAACTGCTCTAAGGGTCTTGAATTCCAAGGAGAGAAGACGAAAATCAAATCCTTTGTGGTAGAGGGATAGAGGGCGAGAAGGTGCAAACAAACTATCCACTGAGGAGGAAAGAGTGACATCACTAAGCAGCGACTTTTAGGAAAACGGTATGAATCTGATTCAAGCTTCTGCTTCCTGTGTTTGGGGTCTCTGGTCTCCATGTGGAGATGTGGGTTCGAATCCCACTGCTGACATGTCATTCTTGGTTGTCTAAAGGGCCAGACTCAAAACAATCTGAACAAGGAAAAGGAGACAGATGGGGAAAGCGAGGGGAGCATAAGCAACTAGTGTAAAGGCCCTGGGGCATGTCTGAGGGGCAGAAGGAAGGATGAGGTGGGGTTGAGCTGGAATGAGTGTAGGGAAGGAGTGAAGCCAGCATTGGAGGGACCACCGGCTCTTACAGGCATTTGGGAGGGCTTGTGTGTTGCCCCTGAGGGAACTGGGAAGAGCTGGGAGGCTGTGAAGCAGGGGGATGTGGCTGGACCATACGGTGGTTGCTGAAGTGAGATTAGAATGTAAGGGAAAGGAAAACTGGAGAACAGTTGGGCTTTCACAGCCAAAGTGGAGTCTCTAAATGACCCAGTAGTTTCTCTCCCAGGAATCTACCCAAAGGAGACAGGAAAACCTCTGGCGATACAGAAGCTCTTACACATGTGCTCAATTTCTGTTCTTAACATCCCCCGAGAGAGCAGCCCACATCCATCACCTGGTGAATGGGCACATGAAATGTGGTGCATGAAATGGAATGGTGTTCAGTCATAAAAACAGTGAAATTTGGCCATCTGCTACAATCTGGGTGACCCTTGAAAACACCCCACTAACTGCCAGGAGCCAGACAAGAAAGGCCACACATGGCATTTCATTTATAGGAAGATACCCAGAACAGGCATGCCTACAGAGATATAAAGTGGATTCATAGTTGCCCAGGGCTGAGGGAGGCAGTATTGGGGTATGAAGGGGTGATGGCTCAAGAGATTTCTTTCATGGAGTCAAGCTATTCTAGAACTGAATGCAGTGATGGATGCACAACTCTGTGAAGATACTGAAGAGTGCTGAAATGTTCACTCTACGTGGGTGAATTCTGTAACTGTACGTTATGTCTCAAAAAAAATCTGTTACCAGGGAAAAAAATAGAAGATAGTCTAAAGACACAGAAAAGGAGGAAGTGGGGGAAGGGCAGTGAGCAAGAGGAGGAGGGAAAGAAATGCAGGCAGGGAGGGAGGTGATGAGGGAAGGGGAGAGAGGCTCCAATTCCAAGGGCCTATGGTGTCCGCCGCCAGTTGTTCCTCCTCCTCAAAGACCAGACCAGGCCAGAGTCTAAGACCTGTTAGATTCTGCAACAATGGAACAATTCACCATTGGCAACGTCCACCATGATGGTGGACGGTTAAGTTTGACTGTTAATTTGATGGGATTGCGAATCACCATGGATACATGCCTGCGGCTATGTCTATGAGGGTGTTTCCACTAAGGTTTAACTGAGCATCTAAGATTCCCCCTGAATGTGAACGACATGACCCTGTGGCCTTGGGTCTCAGAATGAACAAAAGGGAGGAAGTGAGCTGAGCAGCAGTATCATCCCTCCCTGCTCCCTGACTGTGGCACGATCTGACCAGCTGCCTCCTTCCCTATCACCATGCCTTTCCTGCCATGATGGACGGCGCCTTTGAACTGTGGGCCAAAACCCCATCCTTCCTTAAGTTGCTTCATTAGGTGACTGACCACAGCAATGAGAAAAGTCACTAAAACAGATGGTTATGGTGGCTGCCGAGCACTGGAAATGAGCCTTGTGTGGCTGAGGAGTCTCATGTCTAACTTATTACTATTAACGGCCACACGTGGTTAATGGCTACAGTGCTGTGACCCATTCCAGATCCTTCCTTCCATATGTGCTTCTTGTCAGGAGGCCCTTTACTTCACGCTATTTCTGATGGCTCTTCTCTCTCAGACCTGCTTCCTTTGATGTTAGGCTCCAGGAAGCTAGGTCATTCATGATACTAATGGTGACGAAGCATTGTGACTGCGTCTCAGGGATTACAGCTAGACCTCCTTGACCCTGAGAGGCAGGCTGCATTCCCCAAGTGCCAGGGAGGTGGAGAGATGCAGACACTCAGCTAGAAAGCAGCAGGGCTGGGGTTGGAACTGACATTGCACCTTCCCCGGGCCATGCATGTGGTTGTAGTGGCACCTCCCTCCCCAGTGCAGTCCTTGTTCCTGCCTCCAGGCACCGCTGTTGTGCTGGGTTCTGTGTGCTGGGTGCCAGGTGCCGGGCAGATCCTGGCTAGTGCTGAGAGTCTGTACATGAAGCTCAGCCCCACAATGGAACACATGGAGGCAGTGGCTTGTGCACGGTGTGTCACCCGCTGTGGGATATAGATGGGTCTTCAGTACTCACCCTGCCACCCTCTAGGCCTTCACAATTGACCTGCTGACCTTGTGCTTCCTGTCCTCAGTCTCCTACCTATGCATCGTCCCCGTCATCTGTGGAAGCCCTTGGCCCTCTCCCCACCCTCCCTCCTCTAAATAATGGCTCTTCTAGAGCTTCTGACTGGCTTCCCACTGCTGCTGTCTTCTTATGCCCCTTCCCTTGGTCCCCCCTCCCACCCTCTTCCTGCCCCCACCTGCCATTAATTTCTCACTTAGAAGCCAGATGTTGTCCTAAAGCCTCGAGTCAGCTCACATCATCAAACACAAACGTCATGGACCACAGTGCCCTGATGCTGGGTCCCTATCCCCTTTCCACCCTCCCCTCGAACACATTCTCATTTTCACTGTCCCGCAGCTGCCTCCTCTCACTTTCTTCTATTTTCTGAGCACATTGACTCCTCCAAGCCTTGGAGCGTCATGGAACCTTCTTCCTGAAGCCCTTCTCATGACCATCACATGCCTGTCCCTCTCATGACCCAGGTCATAGCTCCATGCTACTGTCCCTACAGTGGTACCTATCTGCAGAGACTCTGCAATCCACAAATGCTGTTAATTTTATTTCACTCACAGGTCTTACCATGTCCTGAAAACTATTCTGTATTTCTTTGTGGCTAGCCTCTCTCTGTCTCCAAGTACATGCCTATTCACTAGGATGCATCTTCTGTGGAGGTGAGGACATCTGTTTGCCTGTCTCACCCAGGGGAGTGTGGGAGGATCTCAAAAAAATATTTGTAAGATGAATGAATAGCATGGTACCAACATCCAGACCCCAGCATGTAGAAGAGTGGGGGTCTTTGCAAGACTCCTGCTGTGGATCCCACACATACTCTGCTCACCTGAAAGTACATGAACTTCATGAGCTTGGTGACCTCTGGCTCCAGCACCTCCACCGTCTTCTCATAGATCTCTACCCGATTGGGCTGCTCATTGCATTTCACCTGTGGGTGGGAGAGGTGGGTTCAGAGTCCAGATTCCCCAGCTGCTACACAGCTCATGCACGGTACCTCATAGTATCTCACGGTCACCCTGGTGAAAGCGGCTGTTGGAGCCCTGACTGATGGAGGTGGCAGGGGACAGCAGTGCTCCAGCTAAAGAGTCAGATGCCAGTCCACCTGCCCTCCCTTTCCCACTGTTCTGTGCCCTTACCATGGGCTGTATGTGTGTTTATGGAGATCTGCAAGAGCCCCTACTTTTCTCCACACCTGAGTGAATGAAATGGTCTGTTTGCCCTTGTTCTAGTAATACCTGGAACAAAGCTTCCCAGACACATTCAGGCCTAACTGGCTATCCTAGGTTATGCCATTCAAAGGCCCATTTCCTCTGCCTGGTAGGTTTTAGCTAGCATGCAGCCTCAGAATTATGTAGCAGATGTTCTTAGAACACACACACCAAACATGCCAACAGGCTGGCGGTGGGGAGGAGTGAGCAAAGGCCCAGCCTTTCTTTCCTCCTTCTCTCCCTCCCTTCTTCCCTCCCTCTCTCCCTCTCTCCTTCCCTCCCTCCCTCCTTCCTTCCTTCTTCCCTTCCTTCCTCCCTCCCTCCCTCCTTCCTTCCGTTCTTTTTCTTGAGATAGCATCTTGTTATATAGCCCAGGCTAGTCTCAAACTCAAGATCTTAGTGCCTCCACCTCCCAGGTATTGGATTACATGCCTTAGATAAGAACAATCTCTATGGCTGTCTAGAAATTATCAATGCTAACATAGCAATCAGTGGGAAATGAAATGGATAAAATTATACAATCATAAAACATAGTTCCAAACTATTAGAAGGAAGAAGGTGGATGTGTGGAGTTACCATGAAAAGATGGCCACCAGAGCTGACAGACAAAACACAACAGGAAACGTAATTGGAATCCTGTTTTATTTTTCATTTGTTTTTGGTACTCTGGGGATAGAATCCAGGCCATGGACCCTAAGACCATAGGCATGCTCAGCAGCTACTCCTCAAGTTTAATCTCAATCTCTCCCTCCCTCCCTCCCTCCCTCCCACTTTCTCTCTCTTGGGGGGGGGCGGAATTCTGGGGTCAGTGAGATGGCTCAGCAAGTGAAGGTACTTGGCACCAAGCCTGACAACCTGAGTTTGATCTCTAGGACCCCCATAGTGGACTGAGAGAACCAATTTCTGCATGTTGTCCTCTGACCTCCACACACACACACCAGGTAAATACAGAGACTAGGTAAATAAATGTAAGAAAAAGTTTAAGAAAAATGAAATTCTGTTATGTGTTCATATATAATACAGGTTTAGGCAACATAAAGAGTACAAAGAAACTGCCTGTGCTGGACAGCTTTAGTGTCAACCTGACGCACCTGGGTTGAGGGAGCCTCAACTGGGGAATTGCCTTCATTGGACTGACCTGTGGCCATGTCCATGGGGCATCTTCTTGATTGGTGAGTGATGTGGGAGGGCCCAGCCCACTGTGGGTGGTTCCATCCCTGGACAGGTGGGCCTGTGTTGCATAAGAAAGCAGGCTGAGCAGGGGCCAAGAGAGCAAGTCAGTGGGTGGTAGTCCTCCATGGCCTGTGCTCTGGCTCCTGCCTCCAGGTTTTTGCCCTGAGTTCCTTCCTACCTTGGGCTCCCTGATGAACTGTGACCTGGGAGATGTGGGCTGAATGAACCCTTTCCTCCTCAAGTTGGTCAGAGTAGTTTGTCACAGCAAAGAAGAGACAAACTAGGACACTGCTAAAACAGCCATCACTAAACATGATGATCAGGGGGAGAAGAGAGGAATACTTTCTGCTTAATTTACAACATGGTTTGTTGATTTTTTTTTTTTACGAGGGAAACCAATAATTATATGAAAAAGTCAGTAACAATAAAAATATCTGTGAAGCTGGGTGTGGTGGTCCACGCCTTTAATCCCAGCACTCAGGAGGCAGAGGCAGGTGGATCTCTGTGAGTTTGAGGCAGCCTGGTCTACATAGTGAGTTCCAGGCCAGCTGGGGCTATAGGAGGGAGACCCCATCTCAAAAGGGCCAAAAAAAAAAAAAAAAAAAAACCCAAAACCCATAAACCTCCCTTGCATTTTAAACATGAAAAAGCTGGTAATAAAGAAGTATAAAAAGCAAGTCCAGGGGCTGGAGAGATGGCTCAGCAGTTAAGAGCACTGACTGCTCTTGCAGAGGACCCGGGTTCGATTCCCAGCACCCACATGGTGGCTATAGACTGTCCTTAACTCCAGTTCCAGGGGAATCTGAAGCCCTTTTCTGTGGCATTGCACAACACGGGTGCACTCACATACATGCAGGCAATACACTCATACACATAAAATAATAAAAATAAAATATTAAAAAAAGCAAGTCCAGAACAGTGTAAAAAAAGACATAATAGGGTTTTATGATAATGATTTTGATTTGTAAAATAATATTCACTTCAGGAAAAAGACACAGGCAAATCCACTGCAGAGCGCTCAGTAATTATCCTGTGGAGGAGGAGGTGGGTTTGGTGTGTATGAGGAGAGATCATGTTTATTATTTTTATGTCCTTCTGCAATGGTTGGGTGGCAGGCAGCAAACACTGCTTTTGAAATAAAATACTCTGAATATTGTGTGCTGGGCAAACTGTTTTTAAGTCCCTGGGCTGGGTTCTGGTCACCAATCTTTTCATGCCCTTTAGGTAAGAGGCCCAGATTTACCCCCCTGCCACCCGCAGAACACAGCCCTCTGGCTCAGGGAGTTGGCTTGGGGGCAGTGACACCTCCCTGGAGGGCAAGAGAGGCACAGCAAGGACGATCTCACCTGGGGAATGGCCCGGGAACAGCTGCGCCAGGTGTACAGCATGACTGCGTACTCGTGTCCCTCCTCCAGCATTTCATTCTGAAACAGCAAAACAGCCTCAGCACGAGAAATGGCACCAGTGTGGCCAGGCTTCTTAAAGCTCACTACCCACCATGTGGTCTGAGGCTGGCGACAGCAGCAATACCCGGATGCTCATTAACAAAGCAGACTCAGACTGTCTCTGAGTCTATGGAGCAAGAATCTGCATTCCAGCAAAGTCCCCAGGTAACTCACATGTGCCCTGGGTCTGCGAAGAACCAATCTAAACCATCCTCATCAGACGCCCCAGGGCTCTACAACCTGGACAAGTTACCAACAAAGAGATGGCCATTGAGGAAGAAGGAGGAGACAGATTTATATGTTCCCGTAGCAACAAGTGTCCCAGATCTAGAGCCAGCAAGTCAGTAAGCAAATAGCACAATCACAGGTACAGCAGAGGCTAAAAACCAAGACGATCAGCGATGATATGGACAAACATTATTGTGCATTGGAACAATATGTGGGAGATGCTCCAAGCTAGGACTAGGGAGCTCTCTACGGGGCAGCGGTATTTGATATTACTTTATATATCATGAAAATATGATATAGTGCCACAACTTTCACACTTCATTATGAATCTGTATTTGATAAGCAGGAAACTGATTAAAACAGAGTTTTAGAAGTAATTAGAGCAGATGGTAAAACAAACGCCAGCATGAAAATAAACTTGAAAGTCACAGGATGAGTCAAACCCCGGAGCAAGGGCACTGCAGAGCCCCAAACAAGGTCCAAATGTCTGGATGAAAATCCGGCTTCATCACTTATTAACTCTTCTGTTTACAATAAATCATTTTCATATGATCCATTTAGTCAAATGCTGAGTGACTATGAGGCTGGTCATTGCACAGAATTCTGGGAGAATGAATGGACTCACTCTAACATGGGAAGATCTATCATGGGTGTTGGCAGAAGAGTCTGGCAGTGCCACAAAATGTTAGCCACGGTTACCATGTGACCAGCACTGACTCCTGGAAATACATACCCAAGAAACCCAAAAACATGTCCACATGGAACTTACATGGATTCCAGATCTATGTGTAACATGTCATGGCATGTTCTTCATAGTAGACTGGAGTGGAAAAAAACCAAAGAATGCCCCTACACTATGGAATGCTGCAGCTCTATGAAGTAAGACTGTACTGACACATGCTATAATGTGAACTTTGGAAACATTACACTAAGCCGAAGAAGCCAGGCACAAAAGGCCACGTGTTATATGATTCCTTAGATGAAATGTCCACAGGAGGCACAGCCATAAAGGCATACAGTGCATCAGTGATTTCCAGACAACACAGACAGAGGGGAACTAGACATGACTGCTAATAGGTTTGAGTATATTTAAAGGATAATGGGAATTAGATATTTATAAAACACTGTGAATGAGTTAAAAAATAATGACTTATTTTATTTTATAAAAATATTTTATTTATTATTTTTACTTTATGTGTATACATGTATTGCCTACACATAGGTGAGTGCACCCATGTGGTGCAATGCCCGGCGGAGAACAGAAGAGGCTGTCAGATCCCCTGGAACTGGAGTTACGGACAGTTGTTAGTTGCCATGTGGGTGTTAGGATTTGAACCCAGGTCTTCTACAAGTACAGCCAGTGTTCTTAACTGCTGAGCCATCTCTCCAGTCCCAATAATGACTTTTATATTTTAAATGGCTTTAAGTCATGGAAAGCAAACTTCAAAAATACAAGGAAAAAGAATAATACTATGTCTCCTATTTTTGTAAATGTTTATATCTAAACAAAATGAACTTTAACTAATTTAACTTTAAATCTATACATTATATCCACTTCACCATGCAGTGTTAGGATAGGATCAGATTTAATTTGGAGTTTATCTCTTAGTATAGTTCACTCAACTGAAAATGCCACTAATAGGTCACAGTCACAATTCCTTTTTTTTTTTTTTTTTTCCCTGTCTTTTTGAGACAAGGTCTCCCTGTAGCCCCAGCTGGCCTGGAACTCACTATGTAGACCAGGCTGGCCTGGAACTCACAGAAATCTACCTGCCTCTGGATTAAAGGCCCAGTTTCTTCTTAATTTAGAGCCTAACTCAGTAACATGCTGTCTGTCCCTGAGATCAGAAAGAATCAAGACCAACTGTGGGTAACCTGCTATCATTGTTTGCCTTGGAACACATGTCAAAAAGGGGAACCAACAAAAATATAAAGAGCACATGTCTATTTTTGGCCCCAAACTGCCCACAGCAGGTGTAATTTCAACTTATTCAGTTAATATATGATGTAGTGTTCCAGGGTCCCAGGCTGTGTGTGTGAGCTGAGAGCTTGAAGGTGAACAGCGATGCACACCCTTCCCTGAGGACAGTTCAGCCAGAGTTGTTGCATAATAAGCCTGGAATACAGAGGTTAGGATGGTGTGATGTCGTGGTAAGAGCCCTGGGTGGGCCTAGGGAGCACTGAGTTCTTGGTTCTTCTTAAGTCCATCTTATTTTTTTAATTAATTAATTAATTTTTAGAGATCTGTGTCCCAAGCTGGCCTCAAATTTGCTATGTAGCTGAGGATGACCTTGAACTTCTGATCCTCTTGTCTCTACCTCTCAAGTACTAGGATTACAGGCATGCACCACCATACCCAGCTTATGTGGCGATAAGGATCAAACCCAGTGCTTTGTGAATACTAGGCAAACACTCTACCTCCTGAGCCACAGCCTCAACTCTGGGGTCTATCTTTTAACTTGGCAATGTCATAGTTTCCTTACTGAAAAAAAAAAAAATAAGTCAAGGAATGTGGGCAGTTTCTAGAAGATTTTCCCCTAGGATGAGTCAGCAGTCTCCCCTAGAGCTTCCAGAAAGGAATGTAGCTCTGCTGATAACTTGATTTAACTCAGGAAGATCCATATTGGGCTTCTGACCCAAAGTACTTGTCAGCAAAAACAATAAGCCCATAAGTTTATGGTAATTTTCCACAGCAACATTAGAAAGCAAATACGTCATGCACAGAGCCGGCCTCTCCTGTGCACTTGCCTATCCATGCCACTGACATGGTGTAACCAAGACATCAGTCAGTGTGGTTCCGGTTCCCCCAACTCCAGAGGCTCCTTACTGTCAGGTGGAGTTAACCTGCAGTGTCCCTCATCAATGTCATCTAACAAGGCCGCCATGCTCAAACAGCCTTCACCGTCTCCAGCAACAATCATACTCAGGATCTCCACCAATGTAATGTATTTGCTTCTTCTAACCCCTTCCGCACTTAACCAACAAGTAAAATGCATGGCTTAGGAAGAGCTCCCCCCATCCCCCACCCCCTCTACTGCTTTGTATTTATGTACTTATTTGCTTATTTATTTGTTTGCTTATTGGCTGGTTGGTGACGGGCTGTAGTCGAGGCTGGCCACCAACTCCCTATGTAGCTGTAAGGAGAATGACCTTGAACTTCTGATCCTCTGCCTCTACTTCCTGAGGACTGGGATTGCAGGCATTCACTACTATGTCCAGTTTATGCGATGCTGAGGATCAACCCTGAGCTTTGTGCATGTTAGGGAAGCATGGTACCAACTGAGCTACATCCCTAGCCGCTTTTTAGTTTGATTAAATGAATTAAAGCTTGGCTACAGGCTCAGCTGTGCCCTTCGCCGTCCCCACACACCCATACACTATTCATATTTGAAGCCCTAAACCCAGGACCTGAGAAAGTGACTCTAGTCCCAGGTGGAGCCTTTCAAAAAATGATGAGGCTCAAAGAATGTCATAAGGTCAGGCCGTAACCCAAGCTGATTGTTGTCCTTATAAAGGGCGGACTTGGTTGCACAGGCGACACTGCAAAAACACAGAGGAGAGTTTATGAGGAAAGAGCCAGGCCAGCTAAGGGGAGGCAGTAGGAGAGGCCAAGCCTGCTGGTCCAGGACTCCACCCTCCAGAGCTGTGGGAAGGAAGCAGCTGCCGTTTAAGCCACCTGCTCGTGGTACTCTGCTATGGGGGCCTAGCCAACGGACACAACGTCCATGTACAGACCCTTATCTACTTCTTCACAAATACCACAGACAGCTTCCTTACATCCACCCTACAGCCCAAATTTGGACAGTCCCTGAGAATGTGTCCTTGCCCACACCGATCATCACCTGCTGTCCCCTTCCCCATCTCATTTATATTTTACAGTCCTACACAAGACAGAAAGAGGTCAGGCCCGGGAAGCAGGGCGGACTTACTGGTTGTAGGATCATGAGTGGCTTGCTTAAAAACTTCTCAGGACCTCAGTTTTTCCATCTCTAAAATAGGTATAATGTTCCCTTTGCAAGTCACTGGGCTATAATGAGGCTCTGATGATTTCACAAGGGAGACATCCATGTTAAAGAGCACACACAAGCCATCATTACCTCCTACAAGGCTGGACTCAAAGGCTACTTCCACTGCCAAACTTTCTCTGGCCATCTCAAAGCCCCTTCAAAAACACAAGTTTAAGCTTTGGGTACAACATCGAATATTTATGTGCTTTTACTTGTCCGCAAAGAGTAGCCTAGTCCCAAAATCAGATCTATCACCAACCAGCTGTTAGACCCTGTGGAAAAATTACTAAGTGTGAAGACAATTTTATTAGAATTTAAAAGAAAAATACCCCAGGGCAGGTAAACTGTCAATCTCTGTAGCTGCCCGGAGGAGGAGAATGAAGGAGAGCAAGGAAAAAGCCATGTTACTTGGATTAGGCTGGCATGGAGGTCAGTCACCTGGCCACAGGCAGCAATATGAGAAGGGTAGCACTGGAGAAAAAGGAGTCTGGCCCAAAGCATCAGGGAAAGCAGGCTTAGAGAAAAGCAGAAAGAAGGAAAAGTAAAGCTACGCTTTTCTGAGTACTCCAAGTCTGTGGCTCTGTGAGAGACTGCCTTGAATCAATTCCTTAATTTAAAGGCTGCAAAGTTCCCTGACTGTAAATCAACTACCTCACAGGGTTTGTGTGAGGATTAAATGGGACAATGAACTTGAAATATTATCCACACAAAGTGTTTAGTAAACGGTCAGCTTGTGTCTTTCCCACTTGACTCACTGAGAATCGAGCCTGGCCCCCCATTAATCCTTGAATCATCCCACAATGGGTACACAATGTTTAATGAGGGAGTAGGGTTTGCCAAGAGGTTATAGAATATACCCGGCACAGTGATTATCAACCAGAGAGGCACATGTGGGGCCTATGAATGAGAAATCTAGAATTCTTTGAATTTCAGTCAGAATAAAATCAATGCAGAGGCCCAAGAGGAAAGCGGATGATGCTCTGCTCACAGGGTAGGACCCTGAGAAAGAGAAGAGTTGGCTGGAGGGAGGGCTCAATGGTTAGAGCGTGTACTGCTTTTGCCAAGGACTGAAGTTCGGTTCCCAGCACCCACTTTGGTGGCTCACAACTGCCTGTAATTCTAGCTCCGCTGGAGGGAGGGCTCAATGGTTAGAGCGTGTACTGCTTTTGCCAAGGACTGTTCGGTTCCCAGCACCCACTTCGGTGGCTCACAACTGCCTGTAATTCTAGCTCTAGGAAATCCAACACTTTCTTATGGTCTCCTCAGGCACCTGAACTCATGTGTACAACCCACACACAGATTCATATAATTGAAAATAATAAAAATGAGGGCTAGAGAGATGGCGCAGAGCTTAAGAGCACTGGCTGCTCTTATAGAAGACCCGGGTTCAATTCCTAGCACCCACTTCTTAGCTGTTAACTGTCTGTAACTCCAGTTCCAGGGGAACCCGAAGCGCTCTTCTCACCTCCATGGGTACTGCATGACATGAGTGCACTTACACGCATGCAAGCAATACACTCATACATACAAAATAAAAATAATAAAAAATTTTAAAAATAAAATATTAGGCCACCAGCTCGAGTTGATGACTGTTATTCCAAACCCAACGCCATTGTCTTTTTTTAATGAGGAGCTTTTGTTTTATCTAAGACAAAATTCCATACACATACACACAGTAATCTACAAGGTATAAGACAAAGCAGGATGTAGTGACATGAGAATCTAAAAAGCCCCCGCCTCAGGGAAGTGAGCAGTGGGGTTCCAGTGAGGAGGAAGGGTAAGGCTGGAGCTGCCCCAAGGCATGGGCAGGGGATGGGCCAGGGCTCTAGAATGGGCTTCCATGGCTCTGCTGACTGAGGCAGAGCCTCTGGAGTAGCTGAGCACAGGCCCTGGTGTGGGAAGCTGCTGGGGGTCACTCCTGCTACAGGACAGTGTGTGTCTGCATGTGGGTCACAAATACTTACCATGCTGGAGTGGACTGTTGCCTGCTCGATGTACCTTGCAATGCCAGTGACAAATGCATTCCTGTCCTCGAAGTTTGTGTCAAAGTTGGCCTGTAGAGGTAGAGAATGGGAGGTGCACTGGGTTATTGGAAGACACATTCAAGCTGCTGGGTGTTCAGGGACTGAACAGCTGCCAATAAACGCCACAAGCTTTCTATGGAAACCTGCCCATCGCCTCTCATCCTACCCCTCCCTCCCCAAGTTGGCTGAGGATGAGCTCGCATGTGCATCCCAACAGCGACCAGGTTCACTCGGCTGAGCCTCAGAGGTAAATGTTTTATCCCTAATTGAAACCTTTTTAGTCCAGTTAGTAAGGCTATAAACTTTACTAATGTTTATGCATGTGATAAACACACTGAAAACAATGTTTTATATTCTTGTCATGAATAAAATCCCAAGCATAAAAAATTATATTTCTAGATGAAAATGTATTATTTACTACTGGATTTAATGTTGTTGTTTACAGTCTTTTTGTTTTGGCTAATAGTTTTCATGGCTTTAACATTTTAACTGCAATAAATATAATTTGTACTAGCAAAATCTTTTTATTTTATGTGTATAGATGTATTGCCTGCATGTAGGTAAGTGCAACTGTGTCGTGCAATGCCCGAGGAAGACAGGAGAGGCTGTCGGATCCCCTGGAACTGGAGTATCGAACAGTTGTTAGCTGCCATGTGCTGCTGGGATTCGAACCCGGGTCCTCTGCAAGAACAGTGTTCTTAACCACTGAGCCATCTCTCCGGCCCTGAGCAAAATCTTATAAAAACATTGTTTTGTAAAAAGAGTAGGCCAAAGTATTTCAGGTATATGACCTACACCTCATATCTATAACTTACTTCACTATCAATTTATTTATAACACTGCAACACATTTTTTTTTTTTTTCCTTTTGAGACCGGGTGTCCCTGTAGCCCCAGATGGCCTGGAACTCTGTATCAGACCAGGCTGGTCTTGATCTCACTAAGATCCACCTGCCTCTGCCTCCTGAATGCTGGAGAATGAAAGGTGTGCACCACCATGCCTGGCTGCAACACATTTTTAATATGTTTTAGAACTGACTGTTTACATTTTCTCTTTCAAAATTTTGCTTCTTGTTTGAAAATCATTGAGAATGGAAGGCTGTCCTTTATCATTTAGTCTCCTAACTTTTTGGTTAGTCCACCTAGTATTATGTTCAGCACAATTTCACAGAAGATTGTATCCAGTAAATATTCAACATTATGAGAAAAAAATTATTACAATAAAAAAGTAGAGAAACAGATGCAAGCCCAAACAGTTATTAAAAGTTAAGATGTGCATACCTCTGATCCAGTCATTCAGAAATCACTGCCTGGAAGTGCACAGGTGGCTATGTGAGCTAGGTCCCCAAAGCTTTTTTACAACAAAAAAATAAACCCAAACCGTGGAAACAGTTCAATTATTCATCAATAGCAAAATCCTAAATTGATGCTATTCTCTCTATACAATGGATTTGTAAGTACCATGAGCTGGTTTAAAGTGGTATTACTGTAGCACTGTCACAGAAAAATAGCCATAAAAAATGTTGTTGTTATTTTTGAGAAAGGGCTACTACAGCCTAGGCTGGCCTGGAACTCTCTATAGCCCAGCAATCCTCCTTCCTCAGCCTCCTAAATACTGGGATTACAGGTGTACATTGCCATGCAAGGCTCCACAATAAATTATAACAAAAGGTAAATCATACATCAGTATATACAGCATAAGCTCTTTTTTTAGTAAAAAGGAAAAATATATTTATGGCACACATATTTGGTTAAAAAGGTATTTCGCCATAAATTTAAAGAAAAAGGCAAGTCATAGAACAACATATATAGTATGAATTCCTTTGTAGTAAAAAGAAAAAAAATCTACCATATATATTATGTATATATGTATGTATTTGGTTTAAAAATGTGTATGTACACAGAGAATGGTATATAGATACAGGGAAAATTTTATTTATTGTACTCTTCAGTATT